TTTGCACAGAGGCAAAATGGACTAAACTGAAACGAAAAGTCCTTTGCCATTTTACAATTTTCGTAATAATTAACAATATATTAATTACTAAAAATTGTCGAAAATTAGTTTTCAATAATTTTTTACTCAAATACTACCAGCTTTACAGAAAACCTGCAAGAGACAAAAATTGTTTACTATATTCTCATAGAGCTCTAAGAATTTTTTCAGAATTTTTTATTAACTTTTTAGTATTGCATTTTCTTATTTTTACCAACATGAGAAAATACATGAGAAAATATTAAAAAATTCTAAAAAAATTCTCCAACCTTTATGAGAAGAAAATAAACAATTTTTGTCTCTTACAGTTTTTCTGTAAAGTTGATAGTTTTTAGCTGCGTTCTGACAACTTTCCTTCGCAATACTCTCTGTCGCAATACTGCCTGTTCAACTTCTTGTTCATATCTCTTGAATGTCTTGAAATCGATAGTTGGAATATTTAAACAAGACAGACAAAATTATTGAAAACCAATTTTCGGCAATTTTTAGCATTTAATATCTTGTTAATTATTGCAAAAATTACAAAATTGTAGAGGACTTTTCTTCTCAGTTTAGTCCATTTTGCCCCTATGCAAAAATGTATGTCCTAATCCACCATGAAGAACACCTTGAAACACAATTAAAAATAGAATAGAGAATATGTTTGTTTATTTAAAAAACTTTTTTGAATATGGCAGGTACAATTATGTAAACTTACCGATTACTGCTTTAGTATTTACGTCAAAACGAGACAAGCGTTGATTTGTCCAGCTGTGCTGTTTACCTGTGGTGACTATTTATTAGTAAACATTTGTGACATCTAACCAACAATATCGAGCCCAAGCTCGATAAGCCTCTGTGCATTTCTTTTTCTATATAGCTTAGAGAAAGAGCTTCCTTGCATGACACACACCACAATTGCTCAGCGAGAACGGAAAATTCAACTATGCGGCGTCCTTCCATGTAGTCCGATTGAGTTGATTCATTTTGTGGTTCTGACATATTTATATAAAAACATTTTTACTGAGACTTAACAAGAAATCGTGAAAAGGAAAAAAGATAAGCGGTAAAAAGCAAGGAATAAGAAGCAAAGAGCGTATATTGTAGATTAGTCTTTTAATCGAGGAACCAAGATACTATTAAGAATGTACTGGCGCTAACGTTCTAGCATTGACAAAACCTTGAAAATTTAATAAATTGTTTCTATTTATTATCTTAATACATGTGCAAAACCTGAAGTCGATTCTCTAACTAGTTTACGAGTTATTCAACTTTTAATTTTGCATGAGTTCTTATGGAATCGGCATTTTCGCTTGCTTGCTTACTTACTGTAAACACCTAACCTCAATTCGCATTCAACTACGTACGAGACCGCAAGAGGTACCAACTTAGAATGGAGTGCGGTGTTGCCGCATTTACTACATGATATCAGGCATTTTATTTTGACTTGTATAAAGTGTTAGAAAGGCAAATATTATGTTAATGATATTTGTTTTACATATTTTGTGGATTTTTAAGTACTTTTCGATGTCTGATATACAGTAAATATTATCAATATGTGTTTCGTTTTTTCGTTCCTTGCAGTTGATTTCAGGTGAAATTCACGTCCAAAAGTTTTTTGCCGACAATCACAAAACTTGTAAAATATACAAATATATTCATTTGTAGTGCCAAATATTATATTAACTGGCATTATTTAAGTTCTTTACACGATACAAGCATGATATGGTGCATATCTTAACTTATAAAAGCATAGAATTTCATCAATTTCAAATTTCAGTCACTTTTATCTGGGATTGTATAGCCAGAACATCCTTAAAGACTCCACCTTGCAAATTTTCGTTCTAATAAAAAGAGCCCATAGGGTCTAAAGGTAATTGAAGAACACATGAGGCCTGTACTTTTTGGTTGAACTTTTGCACCAGTTCATCTTTTTTCCTTTTCTCTCTCCTTTTCTCCCCTGTTCTCTCAGAAGGAAAGGAGAGGAAAGCATTTATATTTTAATAAAAAATTATGAATTTAACAGAATAATATTATCCAAATATAGAGGAAAAAATTGTAATTTTGTGACAGTATATTATATTGTCACAAAATTACAATTTGTTTGGTTTTTAATGCTATATCGTCAGTAATTGAGGTTATATATGAGTCGTCGTTTCGACGACGTAGTTCTATCATCACACAAACGAGCATTAACGATCTTCTTGTGCAAAAAAAAAATTGTGCAAACGGCTCAAAAGACCATTCGATAACGAGCCATATATTATTTTGCCGATCGGCATGTCGCAATCAGAAAATCTCATGTGGTGAGAAACCACATAAATTCATGATAGATTTCTTCCACAATTGAATAAAAATCGGAAATCGTGTTGAATCGCGCGCGTAACCGCGTATGCGGATGTTCATTGGATGCATTCAGAGCGACAACCGCTTACTGAGCGCTGAGTGAGTTCTTTTATCTGATTGGTCTATATTTTAGGATCTAATGGAACATACCAATCAGATGAAAGAGCTCATTGAACGCTTAGTGAGCGGTTGTCGTTCTGAATGCACCCATTTATTATCCATGAGGTATGCTGGCCATCACCTATCACGCATCAGACATGCGCTTTACGCGATTGCATGCGGAGGAGAGATCAGAGAAACAGTTTTTCTCCGAAAACACTGGCATTCGTTTCGCCTTCATGCCATTTCACATTGTACGAGCGATGTCGATCCGTGTATATCGAGTTTTATACAGTCGCATAAAAGGTCGGTCACCGACATTAACCATTCTGCGATAATAACGCACAGTTTTGCAGCTAATTATACTGTTGTTCTCTATACGAACACGTGTCTCCATATAGACCTGCACATTATCGTCCATTGCGTTCTATATTCTCATAGTATTGGATCCAGTTTTTTTTTCTATTATCGTATTCTCAAAGGAACGAGAAGTACTTCCGTATGAGATAGATAAAAATAGTTAAACCTTAAAAGAATATCATTGAAGACGTGCAGTGATGTTCAATTAGTCAGAGTCACTATAAAGTCCTTTTCACAATGGAAGAATATTAGGAACAGAAATAAATAAAAAATTAAGAATACAAAAGAAACATAACGCATAACAAATACATATAAAATACAATAAGTTATTTAAATATTTTTTATTCATTTCCTAATTTTTTTATTTCTGATATTTATAATATTTATTCTCTTTTCTAATATTTCTCCGATTGTACACAGGGTTTAAGCATAACATTTTTTTGTTTCTCGTTTCATAGATACAAAAACGACAGATCCGTACATTTAAATTTCGCGGTAAAAACAATGATTGTGGTATCAAGATTTATCAATTTCGTTATCACATATCTCACAATCAATGATCGCGATTGTCAAAAAATGCCACGTTTTTTTTTAGCTTTGCGAGATAATTGTGTTTTTCAAATTCATATGAATACGTGACACTAAAATGAATAACGACGGATGCAGCTGTTTAGTGTTTACCGCCACTATCCCAACGATCGTCTCGTTTTGGCGGCAAACCGGCGTGGCATAGCGTGGCATAGCGTGGCATCGTTGGGCACTCGTGATTCTTGTGAATCGGATTGCGAAGAATTCGTACTTAAGAGATAAAAATTTCGTCATGTCAGGAAACGTGCTGAAGTTCGCTAAGTTGTCGGACAAAGCGTTCCCACCGATGAAGGGGTCGGAATATGCGGCAGGTTACGATCTACGGAGGTACATCATTCCCACTCTATGATTACTGATTTTACTGATTTTCCTATTACTCTGCTCTACCAAGTACTAATAGCTAGTGACAATAAGAGAGTGATGTCGGTCAATCTACAATTGCTGTATTAGTTACATTCGTTCAAAATATTATATATAAATATATGTTATATATAAGATAAATTGTTAAGTAACCTAATAAGCCTAGTGAGAACAAAGAAATCTATCTTCGATTATGATAATTATGTATTTGGTGGGCATTTCTCTATCTATAACAATAATCGTTGAAATTGGATCAAGATCATGTAAGTTTCTAAAATATTTCTCTTGTGTGATACAGTGCGTACAAATATATTATACGAAGCCATGGCAAGGAATTAGTCAAGACTGATTTGCAAATAGAAGTTCCTTTTGGTACGTACGGCAGAGTCGCACCACGATCTGGTCTAGCATGGAAAAATCACATAGATGTTGGTGCAGGCGTAATAGATGCAGATTATCGGTACACACTATGCACAGTTTCTACAAAGACAAAGGGAGTTTTCCAGCAAGAAACAGAAATGATATATAACATAATGAATCACTACATCCTTATTTGGTAATGTTAGAGATGAAATGATCACTGTATTATACTGTCTTGCTGGAAAGCACCAAAGGATAACAAAATGTCAAATGCTCATATTTACAGTCAGGCCTATATTTAAAGCTTTCTCAGATTTAACTTTAAATATTCTACGAATTATTTTATTGGCACCTACAGAGCATGTAAAAATGAATTTAAGGAAGCATTAAATTTAAGGACTGATTATGGACATGAGCAACAGTACCATTGTTTTTATTTTATTGATTTATTTATTTTTTTGAAACAGTGGTAATGTTGGTGTAGTACTATTCAACCACAGTAATGAGGATTTCGAAGTTGTACCTGGTGATCGCATAGCTCAATTAATTTGTGAAAAAATTACATATCCTAAAATAGAAGAAGTAGATACCTTAACTGATACTAATAGAGGTGCAGAAGGATTTGGCTCGACAGGCATGAAATAAATATTCAAACCTGATTGATACAAACTTGATTTATAAATCGTACAAAGTATTTATATACATTAAGCTTTTTGTCTTGCGTAAGTAAATACATTGATATTTTAATAAAATATAATCTCTTTATTTCTTAAAACCATTTATGACTGTATGTGAACTAATAATATCTATATATATATCATTGATATAACATGTGTACATAGAAAAATATAGAAAGATCTTTCTATATATATTTTTTTTTTCAAGAAATTTATATTTTTGAGACAGGAACTAACCCTGTGTATGGAGTTGGTGTTTTAACGAGAGACAATATAGTTTTGAATTGTTCACTGCTTGCGTCCCGTATAAGCTTGAATATAACATTCTCAGAAGTGGTTATGTGACATCCTATGTCTCGCATTCTCTGTAAAAAAATAAATATAATTTGAACAATGCATATTTAATAAGATAATAAACTTGATAAAGGAATATACATATATCAAAACATCTGTTTTTTTAAAAGAACAGAAATTTAATATAAATGTTCTAAAAATTAGAACATTTATGTTGCAATAATAGTTGATAAACTAGATAGCACAAGTCTAGAAAGATAAACTGCAAGAAGTTCAGTTAAAATAAAAGAAACATGCCTAATCATAGAACATACCTCCAAAGCTAGTAATCTATCCTCTTGAGTACGCGATGAACAACAGTCTGCCACAGTATGAACTTCATAACCGTATTGTCTTAAGTCAACAGCTGTATTTTCTACACAGACATGCGTTTCGACACCTATAAGTATAATAGACTCTGGTTTTTGTCCATTGCAAAGTGTCGCAAGTTCCTTATTAATCTGAAAAGAGCAAAACAGCATTTATGTAACTGATATTAATACTATTTGTAGAACATAAATATAATATGTACTTACTTCAGGAGTACACATACTAAATTGCATCTTTGCAAAAGGTCCCTTGGCTCCAGAGATATCAAGTTCAGGAATAGTTTTCCCCAAAGATTTTGGATTCTGTTCGGACACTAGCATAGGCACATTCATAATTCTTAGAGCGCTGATCTATAAACAATAGTATTTTGTACTACGACAATTTTATTGTAATAATATTAATTTACAACTGAATGGCCTTAAGTCTGTTCTTTTTTTTTTAGTTGAACGTGTCTTGCACCTCTCATCTTTGCTCTTTTTTCTTCAATGTGGAGAGAAAAAGGGGAAAAAAATGAAGTGTACAGAAATTCAGCTGAAAAGAACAGGCTTTGTAATTATGAAAAATAACATAACCTCAACATGTATTTACGTTCTAACATAAATCGTACAGTAAAAAGAGGTTATAATTTGATGAATTTACCAGTTTCGTTGAGTTTTGAATTATTTTATCGAATTGGAATATAGCCTTGGTAAATTTTTCCTGAACATCGCATATAAATAGCGCGGTCCTTCCTTGCCGGAGTATAGCTTTCGCAGGATTTATAGCCATCGTTATTCGTTATTGTTTACGTTATCGCGATTATTACTTGATTTTAATGTGCACACGAAGAAACAATGCGACAAATTGCGTTTCACGAAAACTTGAAAATCACTACGAAGTATGACGTACTCGACAAGTTTATATACGAGATGCAAGATATGAGTCATGTGATATCAGGAATTTTTATCTATGTTATGCTAACTAACGATACGCTCTAACCAATTAATGAAGGCTACGAACAAATACTTCTTGTAGAACGATACGCGTTAGCAGAACATCGATTTTTATATTAAATATTTATCAACTACTGCAATAATTTTCATTACTAGCAAGATGCTATTTCTATTGTCCATTTCATTAATTTAAAATATTTATATCAACAAGATGTACTCTAAACAATTAATGAAGGCTATAGATAAACGCTTCCTATAAAATCAAACATTCGTTGGCACAACGTGAATTCTTATTAAAAATATTTATCAAATACTATAATTTTCATCAAAGCTGACAAGAGGCTGTTCCTATTGTTCCTAAAATTCATTTTATTTATGAATAAAAAATACAGTAATTAGATTACAATATTTTGGAAAAACAATAATCAGGATATGTTTAAATGCAAGTAGAAACATTTCACATATGAGGCTAGTTTCTTGCAGACTTAATATAAACGAGGCTAGCGAGATAACCTTTATTTTTTTTACTCTATTTCTCATTGAATTTATTTATCACCCGCGCGGCGATAATAAATCTGCACGCGAATAAGAAACGCACTGCATCTCGTGTTTATTCTTGCGTTACATGTCAGGTGTATACACGCCAGTACACGCCATGTGTCAACGCAATCGGGCGCAATGTTATGTTATCAAATCAAGGGAAAAATCCACACATGCGCGATGATCACACTCATTTTCTTCAGTTGCGTGCATATTTTGTAAAAATAGGACTCTTACGAAAAAACAAAGCATTTAAGAATCAGCATTTAAAAAACATTAGAAAAATTGTTTTCCTTCTCTCACCCCATTCTTCCTGCTTTTATTTTCAATCTTTAAGAATGAGATTTCACTTTTCAGAGTAGATCACTCTATAAAGTGAAATTTCTTAAAGATTGAAAATTGAGCTCTTTTTCACGACTTGCCCAATTTTCACTTTTTAGAGAAAAATTTCACTTCAAAAAATTTATGAAATACAAAATTCCTAAAATCTTTCTATTATATCCATATTGTATTAAAATTATATTAAAATATATGGAATACTAAATTTCTAAAATTTTTCAATTTTATCCATTTTCTGTATTATATCCAGTAAAATTTTCCAAGATTGATAAAAGATATGTTTGGAACATGTTTGAATTGATTTAAAGCAAGTTTCTTTTAATACTATATTTAAAACATGTTCAAAATATTAAAAATGTATTTTTAAAAGACAATATTGTATTTTAAAAAAACACTTTTTATCAATCCTGAAACATTCCTCGAAGACGTTTTGTTATGAAATGTTTTGAAACGTAGTTTAATTTAAGTAATGGAAATCGCCCAAAATCGCCCCGAGTACAGTCCACAAGGTCATGCCGCGTAGTGCGCAGGTGCGCGGAGGTTTATGAGAGCGCCGCGTGGTGGGGTTTCCTCATTCGATTTGGGGACACTGGGCTTGAACGAGCTGCGCCGAGGTGCAGTAGTTAAACGATGTCCCGACCGGTTGGGTGTGCGCGTCGCGGCTAAGAACGAGGACGAGAAGTTCGAGATCGTATAACGTTTCGTTATGAGGCTCACGGGGTGATTGACACGGTTCGCTTAAACGCACTCGTGTTTCCGCGTGTCCGGTACGTTCGGTCTGCTTCGTATCTCACGTCGTGTCCCGCAGGAACGTCCGCAGGATGGCCGTTGAACCTCGCGTGACCGGGAACGCGAAGCCCCTGGTGCCTCTCTTCACCAAGGCGTCCGATTGCGTCAACACCAGCTGCTACTGGTAAGTGATCTTCGCGGGGTCGGCGTCACCGCAATCGGCGAAAGCGTGCCCCGACCCGGTCAGGGTTCCCCGATCGATCCTCGGACAAACAAACGCGCCGTATTGCGGCATGCACCCGTGCTCCGATCGATACGTTGCGGCGGTGCGGACGACCGCGCGCGAGAACGCGCGGCCATTTTTGCGCGGCGCGTAATTCGAAACTACTAAATCGCCCGCTCCCTCCTGTTGCTTTCACTGATGATTCTTGACAGTGTGAGATGAAATTTCGAATAGTAACAGCGTGTCGTAATGCTGATCTCAAAGTTTAAGAATTAATTGAGCGCAGTTTCAAGTCTCGAATACATTTGGAGCAAATAGCACTTTTGTCTCGTAAATTGGAATTTATTCCGAACTATCTCGATTTATAAATACGAATGGATGAAGTTTCTGTCGAAAAGTATTGCGTTTCGACGTAAAGTAACCTATTTTAAGGAGATCGATAAATATATAGGTCAGAGATTTAACGGGAGCTTTGTGCGACCGCTTATTCGCATTTTCCGCTTCAGTTAGTTTTCTTTCTGCGAAATGAATTTTTATTTCGTGGCTATCCACCAGTACAGCTGTACTGGCACTCACGCCGTTTAACTGCCGGCTGCTTCACGTGTGCCGTTTAAACGGGCGCGAATGCACAAACCCGCTTTTATTGCAATTAATAATGCATGCGATAAATAATGCGCACGAAATGTGGTGGCACGCGAAGCTGTTGTCGCGCTAAACCGCACTTGCACGAGCACGATTATAGATCGGTTTCATTTCCCTCGTAATTGCACAGAACACGTAACCTGCAGGTAGGTGAAGCGATTCTTTTTAGCTTTTTACTTATACGTTTTATGATCATTCGATAATAGCTGCACTCTGTTTATTTGATCTAATAGCGTCGACGCTGTTTTTTTTTTTTTTATGACTTTGTAGGGCGATTCTTTGTAATTTTTGCACTTTCAGAGTGAACCTCAAAGATCGAGCTTTTTTTGCTGTAATTAATACCATCATTAAATATTCTTTATATTCTCTTTATTATGTTATAATTTTATTATGTTGGCTTTTTGTATGTAGCAACTCCCACAATTGGATGTATTCTATACAATATTATACATAAAATATAATTTGATTTAATATTTATTAATATTATTAGTATTATCTATATAAATTCTAATATTAATAAAGTTAATATTATTAATATTAACTTTATTAATTCTAATATTAATAAAGTTAATATTATTAATATTATTAAATTTATTTAGTTATTATATTTCAGTAATTTAAATCCTTAACGAGTACAACATAATAATGCATAAGTAATAAATAACTTAATATAAAAATCTTTGATGTTTTCCTGAATGTGATTTAAATTAAAGATTAATATCCGTATTTTCATTTAAATTTATTCTCTTATTCGTTATTTATGTCTGTGATATAAATAACAAATAAGATAAAATGCAAACAAATGAAATATTTGTGTCATACGTAACAAGTAAAATGTTTTGTTAATCGTTGTATAACTATTCTTTCGTATTTCTGGTAGAAAAACGAATCAATTATAGATTGCACAAATATTTGTGGTCGAGGATAAAGGGCGGTTTGTACCCAATTTCAGCGAGGAAAATGTTTGGAAGCTCTGTCAAGACGTGGCGACTAGGCATCCTTCCGAATTGCAACATTGTCACGTTGTTTTCGTAAGCAACCCACGACGAAGCGTTCCCCTTTGGCGTCAACGATCGGGGAAGGATGAAGACAAATTAGTTGTGTGGGTTAGTATCGCGGTGAGACGATAATTAAACTAAGAAATGTCTTTTACCTTCTATTGATATTTCATAAGAATGTCTTGTTTCTCTGTAGGATTACCATGCTATTCTCATTTACGCACCCGACGAAAGGGCGGTGGTGTACGATTTAGAAAGCTGCCTGCCGTTTCCCACGCATTTCTGGAAGTACGCGACCGAAACCTTCCGATCTGACGAGGCCCTGCGGCCCGAGTATCACAGAAGATTCCGTCTGGTGCCCGCCAGCGTGTACTTACAACAGTTCGCATCAAATCGACATCACATGAAGCGCAAGGACGGTACTTGGATCAAGACACCACCGGATTATCCTCCAATATCGACACCAAGTATGTAGGAAACTTCAGAAAATTCTGTGGACCTACGAAAGATTTCCTGTACAATTCTCGCAACATCCTGGCCTCTTAGAAATATCACATTCACGTCCGATATGAACATAGTAGAAAATGGGACCTCGACATATACTCCTTTCTTAATATCGTCTTCCAACATTTAATCTCCATTTGGATTATACCATGAATTTTTGAACTGCACGTATATTTGTGTAGAACGATCTATTTATGAACATTTCTTATTCATCGGCTTCATTTCGTACGTTCCAGCTTGCAAGGATAATCTCGACTCATTCATCAACATGGAACTAGGAACCGGACTAGGCGTTGTAATGAGTTTGAAACAATTAGTTAACCGATTTTATAGGCCAAATGTCAACACACAGGCGCCGACGCCGCCTCAACCGCAAGCTACAGCAACTTAAGTCGTGAATTGCAACGCGACGTTCGTACGCTTTGATAAAACATCTTGGAAATCAATTGTATGGCCTAAGGAAATTGGTTTGGTGCATGTCATCATCGTGGGCTAAAATACTTGAGCGAAATTTGATAATAATGTTAGTTAATTGCTGCTAAATACGGCAGAATTTCAAATATAAAGTCGTTGTATTGCTATTTGAGCAAGGTTTGCTCGGAAACCGAGCTGGGACCGAGGTGGTTTTAGCGAAATTAAATTTATTATGGCGTTGTGTGATACTTTTGTCAAAGTTTCGTTATACCGTCGTGAATGGACGTTTTAGGTAATTCAGATAAATTTATCAATTATTATTGATTACTTTTTTGCTCCTCTGTTCTGACACGAACAAAACTTTACGCATAAACCTTCGGGTAACGTGAAGCCAATGAATATATAAAATTATCAATGCAAGTAATAATTATTTATCTATTATTATTAATCGAGATGTTCCGATTCTTAGGTAGAAAGATTTAAAAATCTCATGTTTTATCACAATCAAAACCTATGTATATCGATAACAAAAACATGCACTTTTTGCAATATAATAACGGGATTGACGTTTATTCTCCAATCGAGTGATTTGGCTTGCCGCGCATGAAGAACGATTCTGCTGAGCTGCTTTTTGAATACTCTCGATAAGTGCTTATGCATCGTATTAATGGGCTCCATCGAAATCCATTTTCTCTCTTCTACTAAAGTCTCCTTCGCAGAATTTATCCGGGATGGGGTGCTCTCTTCCGGCAAATGTAGCACAAATTCGATCACATTTCCGAACTCGAATCATATTTTATATAAGTACTTTCGTCTCCATGCCATAAAGCGATATTTCTCACGGCTTTACTCTGTCAGTGGTGTTATTATAATTATTGTGTCAAAGACTGATGATGTATTTACAGAGAATTATCCGACTTGATAGAGATCCCTTTGTCTATCGGCGCGTGCTCGAAGCGCGAGACGCGATTAAAAGCGCTTATAATTACTGTGCGATCGATGTAGTAAGGTCAAGAACTTAATCTTTGCGACGTAATGTAATTATTACGATTATTGTAATTCTTGTGATACTTTACACTTTCTACTTTGAATACCTATGCTATACTTACCTTACTGTTTATACTAAAAGTCGATTCTTAAGAGATACATATTCGCTTGTTGAGCGGCTTCCCTAATTGGCGTATTAACTTGAGTGGATATACAACGTCGTCACGCGACCAATTGTTAACATCGAAGAACCTGTTGACTCAACGAACACACGTCGCTTTAGTGACGATAGGAAGTTCTACAACGAATGCTTTAAATTCTCTATCTGTTCTATAAATAAGATAAGCACAAAATATGTTCTATTCATTAAGATTTAACATTATTTTTCGATATTCCGTAGATATATTGAATGTCTTATTAAGCCATTTGAATTATTACTTTATATTTTAGATTTCATCACAAACATTTATTCTTGTGATTTTGCGATTAATTCTTTATGATTCAAGTATGAATAAATACTCATTTAAACATTCGCGATTATGGAGTGGCCTTGATATATCAGAATAACTTTAATATGCAAAATAAGTGTAAAATGCTCGCCACCTCCGATTAGCATGATGTAACCTTGGATCATAAAGGGTTAAATCGCGTGTTATGTTATACGCATTTTATCAGATGCGGCAACCTTGAAAGTTTAGCCTTTGTGTGGACTTTCTTCCCTCGACCCTCATGTACTTCACATTATTTAATAATGGTGACGATGTGGAACGCAAGTTCCGTAGAGCTATATCTATTTGCATTTATAATTTAATTTCATTATTAGTTGTTTCATTCGGTTGAGTGCAACGGGGAAGTTTATCAACAAGCAATTACTATCGAACTATCAACTCGACGAGTCGACGTTACGAATAATTCGTAAAATGATCCACCGGTCGGGTCGATAGTTTTAAGAGTTCGTCCACTCTTTGCCTTCCAAAGTCTCTCACTAGTTCACTCTATCTTTCTCATCGACACATATTTACCTCCAGTTCGCATATATCATGTTACTACGAGCGTACGTACTTGTAAGCGGAGGAGTTTACGGTTTCGAAGTATCTAGTCACCGAAAATCGCTTTAGTATAAATTGTTCGACAGCAGTCTCCACGACAGGTTTCTTTTAATGAACGCGCAACGTGTGGAAAATTCGGGACCGATCTTCTTAGCGAGTAATCTCGAGAAACTTTATCAAAAGACAAAAATACCGAAAAAAAGATTCTCTTTATCGTTCAGACAAGATATTGCTAAATATATCAGAGCAGAACTATTACGATTATGATATATATATTGTATACATATATATCGATATTTCATATTTATTATACAGATATATTGTAATTATATTGTATCGATTTCGATACACCGATAAGAGTTTAGTCGGAAATGTTAACTTATACAATGTTTTATATATATACATATATATTATATATATATTTGTCGGCGTTCGGTGACATATTCTCTTACCATTGTCATTTACGACCTGTAAACGCCTGGACTTAAAGATCATAAGTCTATTGCCACGTTTTCGCATATTTGCAGAGAATCATGAAAACCTCTTTATGACCTTCTCCTTTCGAGTATATGATGGGTTATTACAATAAATGGATGCACTCCGTTCGTCTAAGCTTCGAATTTTACAGAATACTCTCAAGCTTTGTGGTTATTTCCTAAAGTCCTATCCTTATCTTTTTGATTAATGATTAATCATTAATCTTTTCGCCTTTACAAACAAATATTGAAAACATTGTTAAAGATATTACTATGGTATTAAATAAAAAATTTATGGTACATTTTATTTTAAACGTAATTGGAAGATATGACAAAATAAAATAATATACATAATATATAGCACGGTTTAAAAAATATTTTTATAAAACTTAAAATATTAATACAAAATGATTAATCAATAAGATATAAGATGCTTTTCTACTTACGTTAGAATATTTTTCTCAATCTAACTAAAATATCGAAATTAAATATGTAATAAAATTATTTAATTTTGTAAATTAATCCAGAAATTAATTAAAATACATGTATAAATATAAGGTATATATTTATTGACAATAATTATTGATGGATAAATAATATATAATTATTCCTCCAACAATTTTCTAACAATATAAAGAAATCTAATACACGATTTCAAAAATCTTTTTATTAGAAATAATTGAATTTAGAATTATAAAGATAAAAAGTATGTTTTCTTTGAAAAAAATATTTTTTAATTTAAGATATTAAAAAGATATTAAAAATAGTTTAATGTGTTGATTATAAAGATATAATTTTTTTATGCTTTGATCACAAAAAGTACTAAGAAATATAATTAATTTATTTTTGAGTACAGGAACAAGTTATTACGGATTCTATAAATGATTAAAGTAGAAATATATCGATGCAATATATATATATATATATATAAAATATAGTTTTACATTTTACATTGTTATATTTATGTCGTACAATAACACAATTTCTTAACGTTTGTATTTCCTAAAAAATCACCTTTTTAAAAAATATTTTATCAACATCGCATATAATTTACAATAGTAGAAAATATTGCAATAAGTGCAACATGCATTTATACAATCATAATATTATATCCGCGTTTATGGCACAATTATATACATATTTATAGAGATTATTTTGTTACATTTTTAATGTTTCTCAGTAAAAATCTGCGTACATAAAATTATATTACAAAATTATAGAACGAGGATAATTTTCACAATTATATATTTACTAAAGTAAATTTTTTAAATTATGACTTTTTACAATGTTTTTTTTCTTTAAAAAATGTAATATTTTATGTTAATCTTTTAAAAAGACAAAGGTAAGGCTTTTCAGGAATATTCTAGTCTTTATTCCCTGAATAATTTTTTTCTACGTACTTGCTAAATCGTTCGTGAAGGCTTAGCTCAATATCGTAATTAAATTATGGGGGTAATCGTTTATATATTTACACGCTATATAATTAATATAAAATCATGCTGAAGAAGATACTCGATCTTTTTTCCATCTTTTTGTACGTTGTGCAATATGAACAGATAAACCAGATCACATCAAAACGTTTTATATATACTATAACGTATGAATAAAATTCCTCGAGAAAATTTTTTTAATTAATACATTTTAATTGAATTGACCATATTATTTATATTTTTTTAATTGATCATAATTATAATATTTATATTTACCTCGGAAATCTATTTGTGATTAAAATATAAGAAAAAAGTAATGTACATATGTCTTTTTCATGCAATCAAATGTGTAAGAGCATTTATTAACTGTTTATGAAAGTTTCATAAGAATGCTTTGTATTGGAAAATTTATAGTCGATTTTTTAAATTCTCAAGTAAATTTTTTACTGTAGATATTACCTATATATATAGATATAAATGTACAAATTAATGGATCTTTTAGGCAGCTTTATTTAATTGTATCATATTAATCATATTGGCTTTACATACAGGGTGATCCGAAATTCACGAATTCGGAATACGAAACATGATACTTTATGCTAAAAGAAACAACTTTTCTTTTATAAAATTGCATCTAAAGCCTGCGGCACACGATGCTTGTTTTCTTGCTGGATTGCTAGCTGGAATAGAATCTTGCCACCGTGTCAGTGCCAGCATCGCAGCTAATACGGTGGCAAGATTTCTAATCCAGCTAGCTATCCAGCAGGAAAACAGCATCATATGTCGCAGGTTTTACAAGTAGTTTTTGCTGGAGAGCAGGTTGAAGTTATACGAGTAAACGCAAAAATTATTTAACAAATGTAATTTTACTACAGGATAAAGTTGTTCGTTTTAGCATAAAGTATCATGTCCTGTACTCTGAATTTGTAAATTTCGGATTACCCAATATATCATTTTCAAATGACATATGTAGGATATTTAAAACATTTTCATTAATACTCTGAAATGAAAACGTAACATCTCACTAAAAACGAAGACTATTTTGGAGAAATAATTAATTCAATATTAAACTTCATGTTTAAGCTAATTAGAACTGTTGTGTTTGTTTAATGTGTAGATGGATGTTTTTAAATGTCCGTATAAGATGTGATCTTACATGTACCATCTAAGAAATAGAATTATTAAAAAAATATAACAATAAACGTAACAATTGTTTTAAAAAGTTTATCAGTGTGCGATAATAATTCGTGGATAATAAACACTAGTCAACGACGATTCTGGATTGATGATCGTCGATAATAGAATGTTAAATTAAATAACAAATTTCAATCCAAGCTTCGTATGAAGATTGCTAAAGATCTTGTCTTTCACACACGCACTATCAAAGTAAATAGCAATAAATATTTGGTGTTATTTTTACACGATTTGATTTTTAGATCGATCCCATCAGCGCGCAAGAGTTTATTCGAATGTCAGGACGAGATCGTCTCCTTCTAATCTCATGCCCAAACTGATTTCAAGGCTCTTGATTTTGCCCGCTTTAGGCGCTTGCACAACCATCTCCATCTTCATAGCAGATAGCACAACTAATGGTGCACCCTTTTCCACAGTGTCGCCCACTTTTACTCTAATGTCGATCACTTCGCCGGGCATCGGCGCTCCCAGATGATTACTGTCACCTTTCGTTGCTTTTGGATGCACATGCAATTCCTGCACAGAGAATAGAAAAATTCTTATCGTACTTTGTTTAAGATATTCATTTAATCCCAATTTAATTGTAATCTTCTTTTAATTATTTTCACATATAAGGTAATTTTATTTTAATCTCAGTTTAATTGTTATTTAACATTTTAATTTCACTTTAATTATAACTTAATTGAATCACGTGATAGTATATAAAATAATACCGAAAATTTGCGAGTCTCATTTACCTTGACGGCCTCTTTATCTTTGATGAACACAGATCTCAGTTGACCGTTCATTTCGAAAAACACTTCACGTTCACCATTTTTCGTGAGATCTTCTGCAACTGCAAGGGTTTTGATACCGAGAGTTTTGCCCTTCTCAATTGTGACATCGAATACCTCGCCTACTTTAGGCCCCGTGAGAAAGATTCTAGTTTCCAATTTATCTACCGGACCAAATTGTTCCTTGAAGTTCAAATAATCCTTCGTTACTTTAGGGTAGAGCGCGGCCGACATGACGTCCTTTTCGGTAACGTGTGGGTGAAATTCTTTCAATTCCTTCCTCAAGGCATCTAAGTCGAGTGATGCCAAACTCGCGCCTGGTCTGCCTTTCACGCGTGGCATGTCTTTGAGAACCTTCGACCTAATCAAATTACAAACGCAAAATAAATGCAATGAAAGGATTACCGTGAAATTAACATTCGTGTATGCATGCAGATCCTTACCTGAGAGGTTCAGGAAATCCTCCGTGAGGTTCACCAATGGCACCCTGAAGAAATTCGACTACCGACTTAGGGAACGATAGTTCTTCGGCTTTCTTGAGAACATCATCGGCGGCCAATTTGTTTTGAACCATAAATTGTGCTAAGTCACCGACAACTTTGGAGCTTGGTGTAACTTTGATAATATCACCGAGCAAAAGATTAGCTTGTCGATATGCCTTCTTCACGTCCTCAAAGAATTCGCCCAGACCGAGTGAATAAGCTTGGAATTGCAAATTCGTGTATTGACCACCAGGAATTTCGTTGAGGTAGACATCCGCGTTTCCGGACTTCATTGTTGTTGTGCATTCGAATGGTGCATAAAGCGTTCTCGTTTGTTCCCAATATGCGGAATACTCGGAGACATCAGATAGATCCAATTTTGTATCAATGTCCGTTCCTATTATATTAATTGAAAATTTTCCTAGCTTCAGCATTAATCAAATTTTAATATAATTTCCACACACATTTCTTACTATTATATTAATAAATTTAATCTGAGAGAGAGAGAGAGAGACTAAACTAATAAAAAAACATTACAATGTCACAGCAATATAATAACAATTAAAATAATTAAAACGTAATTCAAGCTGTTAGTTATCGAATTCAAATGTCAGTTCGCATTAAAATGTAAAAAATTATCATATATAATATAGATATATGGAAAGAACGGTTTTGCAGATTTAATTAGATATAAATCTGAAAATAATTATATAAGGGCTCAAACTGAATGCTAGAACATCAAAACTTTTTGCTGCCTTGTTCATCACGGTTTAGTTTTCTATCTAATTTATTTTTATAGTCTAACAAAATTATTTTCAAATCTGCATCTAACTAAATTTTTAGATATTTTAGTAAAATCATTCCTTTCGTGTACAAAAGATAAAAAAAATTATATGAAAAATTAATTTACGATCACGCAAAATTAAAAAGTTATTAAACTATACCCTGAAGAGATGCAACAACCGCGCCCATAGAAGGCTGACTGGTCATGCCAGACATGCTATCAACGGCAACGTCTACTACATCGGCCCCACTCTTCGCACAGGCCAACATGGAAGCTACTCCAGCTCCAGCAGTATCATGCGTGTGTATGTGAAGAGGCACATCTGGATGTTTCTGCCTTATTGCGTCGATCAACATTTCGGCTGCTCTCGGTTTAAGCAATCCAGCCATATCTTTGATCGCTAAGATATGAGTACCCACTTTGACTAGCTCGTCCGCTAAGTCGGTATAATATTTCAAGTTATATTTGGTACGATTCGGATCGCTTACATCACCCGTATAGGAAATCGCCGCTTCGACGATACCCCCCGCATTTCCAGCGGCTTCCATACCTGAAAAAAAACTCACGCTCAGAGAAGAAATTTTTACACGAAAATATTCCTATAGTTTACGAAACGACTTTACAGAATAAGCAATGTGAATACACAATTTAGTAACGAAAAAAGTCTTATCAATCTGAACTGAATCTTAATATTTTAATAATATTTTGGCATGAATTTATATATACATATCCAAACTGCACGCCGAAATCATTTTCAGTCTTGAAATGCAATCCTAAACTGAACTGGGACAATAATATCACAAATTAAATTCATAAACAATTTATTGATATTGATGCTACTAAGCATTTTAAAAAGGAATATTTGTTTCGATAATGTTTCCTTATTAATTGCATTATAGTTATATGTATAGTTAAGTTATAGTTTCGTTTTACAAAAACTTACCAACGATAAGATTCGGCAAGTAATTGAGGGAGTCAAATACTCTGAAAATGTCCATTCCGGTTTTCACAGCCAGTTCACAGAACTTGAAGACGACGTTATCAGGATAGTTCGTATACCCGACAGCGTTAGCACCTCTAAGTAACATTTGGAATGGAATATTAGGGATAGCCTTGCGCATATCTTCCAGCCGTTCCCAAGGGCACTCATGAAGAAACCTTAAAGCCACATCAAAGGTCGCACCGCCCCAGTTCTCCAACGAATAAAGATTGTTGAATTTGTGGGCGACGAATGGTGAGATCATCAGCAAATCGTGCGATCGTACACGAGTCGCTAAGAGGGACTGATGGGCATCACGGAACGTAGTGTCCATCAAAAGGAGACCCTTGTGCTGTCTAATAGTTTTAGCGAAAGCTTCCGGACCTTGCTCTTTATAAATATGTCGGAATCCTTTCGGAGGATCCAGAGGTTCTGAAAAGGAGCGCAGAAGAAGATTAGTTTGATGCCTTTTTTAAAAAAAACGGATTGTTATTTGGTACGTGCTGTTGTTAGTAGGCATGAAAAATGTTTATGAGAAGCGGTGAATTATAGATATTTATCGTTGATAAAAAATAAGAATAAGAAATAAATTATTTATAATGTAAATGTGTTTACATAATTATTTACTTAATATTGAGTTGTATTAATAATGGGGATTTATAAATATTTTAAAAGGCATTTTTTATTGTTTTAAATAAATTTAATTTAAAATTAAATTAATTAATTTGAATTAAATATTTATTGTGTTGATTATTTGCTATTAACGCTTTTATACAGGATGTCCCGTAAGTTTTTGCCAAGCGCTTTTGAATAGAGCGGACTAAACTGAGTCGAAAAGTCCTCTATCATTTTGCAATTTTTGCAATAGTTAACAAGATCTTAATTATTAAAAATTATCGAATATTGGTCTTCAATAATTTTTTACTCAAATACTATTAACTTTACAGAAAACCTGTAAGAGACAAAAATTATTTATTTTATTTACAGAATTCTAAGAATTTTTTTGGAATTTTTTATCAACTTTTTTTAGTACTGCATTTTCTTATTTTTACCATGAGAAAATACGGTATTAAAAAATTCTGAAAAAATTCTCAGAACTTTATGAGATGAAAATAAATCATTTTTGTCTCTCGCTGTTTTTCTGTAAAGTTGATAATATTTGAATAAAAAATTATTGAAGACCAATATTCGATAATTTTTAATAATTAAGATCTTGTTAACTATTGCGAAAATTGCAAAATGGTTTAGACTGTTCTATTTACATAAAAACGCTTGGCAAAAACTTACGGGAAACCCTGTATATATAAATGAAATTATATGGAAAATATTAAATATCGAATAAAAATTACAAACATAAAATATAAAGAGCATTCAGCCACGCGCAAGATGTTTTTTGCGAATGTTATATATTTAAAATTCTTACGTTACAGAAACAAATTATAGACGTTTCGGTTTATATCAGGCCATCTTCAATATACAATATAAATAATACAAAAATAGTTCGCAGTCATAAAATTAAAAGAATTGAAATAAATAAACGATCAATGATTCTTAGTCATAAGATTAAAAGAATAAATTAACAATTTTTACTTTTTGTTCGAAGAATAAATTAACAATTAACTTTTTGTTCGAATTACAATCTACGCTTGTGTATATGTTGCCGAAAAATATTTGCTTCGATTCATCCTAATGAGACTTTTATATTGAAAATTATTGCTTCTATTCATCTTAATAAGAGACTTTTATATTGAAAAGTTGTAAGAAACGTAAAAAAGACCTTACGCGTGGCTGAATGCTCTTTATATTTTATGTTTGTAATTTGCAAACCACTAGTAAATTTACAAACGACTAAAAATTCTCGCGTTAAATATTATTTTAAGTATTATACTTTAAATATTGTTGCATTATTAAACATATTTTTTTTATTTTAAAAATGCTTTGAAATTTAGAGTAAGAAAATATTTTATAAGACAGGCATAGCATTTGCAAATTAATATATCGCTATAAATTAAATAATAAATTAATATTTTAATAATGTAGCAGTATATATTTATATTATTGTTAATAGCATTATTATATAATAGCTCATTTAATATTGGTACATTTAATATATTGAATTAATTAATTAAATTTAGAAAAAAACTTGTTTAGAATAAATTCCAATAAACAAATGTCTGCCAATCTGAAAGAACAATAACAAATTAAAAAAAAATTTGTTTATATTATATATACAAAATTTGTTATACTGTACCAGTTTTTAGCTTCTTTCAATCTTCACAATGCTAAATCTTAAAATAATATAAATAAACAAGGCATTACACATATGTAACACTGTAACCATACCTGGTGCGTCGGGATCATTGGTTTCTTCTGCAGCTGCAAGCTTAGCAAAGTCTAAAAAAATTGTCAAACAAAAAATAAAAGCATGCGATAAAGAGTGAAGAGTGTAAAAGAGGGAAATTAATATTTAAAGATGTAAGTCACTATTACAAGAATATGACAATGAATCTTTAAGAGACAAAGATTTTTGGGATTTGTCTCGATTTATTGAATTTATCCCATGTGTAAACGTAGGTAGCGTTTACCGGTGATATACTTTAAATGTAAGTGGGTTTTTTTTTTAATTTTAATGCGAATAGAATATTGAATTATTTTCAAGTAATACTAATCAAGTAAAACAGCATGCTGTATTATTATTTGTTAAAATAATGACAATAAGTAGAGACATATGAAGATGTTTCGTGAGCCCATTTACGAATTCGCAGTGTGCTTAATGTAGCGCGGTGCAATAATTATGTTGGAATTTAGACACAAGAACACACCAAAAAGAAAAAAAAGTAGATTTTTAGAACGGTTAAATCGAATATGCCTATAAACCCAGCAGAAAAGCGTAAACGGTTTGTTACTTGTAAGCAAAAAGGATGTTTACTATTTATTGTATGAATATAATATTTCAAAATTATCGTATAATAAGGTGTTGGTTCGCGTATAGATATATATAGGGCGTATATAGATATATACACGAGTATCAATGCGAGACACTACCGGATCTCTATAGTATCGTGATTCAACATTATTGTTTGCCTTTATTTAAGCCATTAATTACTGATTAATGAAATTCAATAAAAAGTAATGTAATTTAGTACTTTAGTATGTAAAATCGAGTGTTTATAAGTTTATAAGGATTTTAAAAACGAAGGAGAAATTTCATTATGTATTAGAAAACATTAAATTATTTCTTCAGTCATTTGTTAATATTTTTAAAAATTAAAAAGAATCTTTAATTACTTCAACGATTCATAAACATATACAGGACATCTTCTGGAACAAAGACCTATTATGGAATAAAATCGAAATGGATTCCGATCGGAATTATTCAATTATTCCCTATATTTCTATTGTGTTTTCTGGGGAAGACAGAATAATTTTTTCCGATCGGAATGGATTCCGTTTTCCTCAGAAAACACAATAGAAATCTAGGAATAATTGAATAATTCCGATCGAAATCCATTTCGATTTTGTTCCATAATAGGTGCCCATGTTAATTTATAGCAGTCTTTATGTAAACGTTAATCTGATCAGAGAATTAGTAGACATCCCCTAACAAAAAAACAAAAAAAAAGAAAAGTATATAATCCCTGTTTTGCTGATCCATAAAAGCACGTCCTCTGTACGCCTCTGTTCTAAGTACATGGCTAGAATAATTTTCCCACCTAACGTGGACAGTATTTAATTTAATTATCAATATCGGAATTTAATAGGATTGAGATTTAGTTATCGAAATTTTTTATGATGTAGAGTTTAAAGGGTATGTCACCTTCAATTATTGCATTCGTTGGTAAACGATCGTGTACCTAGAGCAATCTGCGGAATATGTGGTTTGATGTCCGCTGGTTTCAGTTGAGTAGCTAATGGCGTGCTTGGGCCATTGACCAGGACGGTACCGAGGTAATTGAGCAATTTCTGGGCTCGATTCTGACTCGGCTGCAACTGAAAAAGCTGAGGATGCTCGTCGATGAAATATGTATCGACAATACCGTTGAGGAACTTTTGATTTTCCAAGACATTTAGTAGAAAAGGTATATTTGTCTTTACTCCTCGCACGCGGAATTCGCGAAGCGCTCGATTCATTTTGGCGCAGGATGACGGAAGATCACTGGCGTGGGCGATTACCTGAGAAAAAAGCAAAAAATATATTATTTATATTCTTTAAATATAGTCTCTAAATTTTTTGAAGTGAAATCTCTCATTCTAAAAAGTGAACATTGAGTCAATCTTGAAAGAGTGATTAAATTTTCAATCTTTAAGAGTGAGATTTATTCTAAAAATTTTTAAAAAGTGGATAGGGTGATACAATTTCGAACATGGTATAATTCTGAAAATAGTTTAATTGTCGATCGAGATTCAAGTTTAGTAATACTGTATAATCTACGTCTACCTAGCTGGCGCCCCCCACTTAATTGGATCTTAATGAAAAAATTATGGAATAATGCGCTATTTATGCGCTACCCATATCCGCAAAAAAAATCCTGTGTATTTAATTTTCCAAATCGGTTGTTTTTAACGGATGGGAGGGCTGATTGACTGCCTACTCAGTCCCCCCACAAAAAAAATTTTTTTTTAGCTAAACGAAATAAGCGCAAAAATTTTTTTTGCGGATATGGGTAGCGCATAAATAGCGCATTATTCCATAATTTTTTCATTAAGATATGTGTGCCAAAAGAAAAAATCAAACTTGAACTTCGAAAGTTGAATTAAATTTTATTTCGTTCAGAATTGTACTATGTTCGAAATTGTACCTTAATATGATAAATGTGTTAAAATTCTTTGCAATTAGGATTATTATCATACCTTAACAAGTAGTGAATCGTAATACGGTGAGATTATAGCACCAGCGAATGCGGAGGCTCCATCCAATCGGATGCCCATACCTTCGCCAGAACGAAAAACTTCTATTCTTCCAGTATCCGGTTGAAAATTCTTAGCCGGATCTTCTGTGGTCACTCGACATTGAATTGCGAATCCTTGAGGTATAATTTTATCTTGCGTCATACTAAGTTCTGGTAGTGTCATCCCTTCGGCGATTCGAATTTGGGATTGCACGAGATCGATTCTGAAAGAATGAAGATGGCAAAGTGACATGTAATGATTGACGCTTGTGTAAAACATCATGCATATTAATGTTACGATTTAATCAGAGAATGGAAGTAACACCCATTACAAGTTATTTTGTTTATAACGGGTTGGTGACAGTGTTATCTTTGGAGAATCAGTAACTAGTAACAGTACACTCAGAGAAAGAAGTTGTATCAGTAACTATAAATTTGTAATGAAATAGCGCCTCAACTATATGCATACGTATTATTAAATTCTAATAAGAATTAGATTAAGTGAACTAAAAAAATATAGTATTATTAACCATATAATCAATTACAAATAGTTAATATTACTATATTTTCTTAGTTCACTTAATTTACTTGTTTTTATTAAAGCTTTATAATATATACATAGTTAATGCATTTCTTATTTATTTTTGTCTTCCAAGTTTGAAACCAACGCTGCGCCTTTTATTGTAAGCTGAATGACTTTAGAGAAAAATTTTTAATGTATTCCTTAAAGTTACCTCAAAAATGATTAGTTACATGATACAGAGTACTTTATTAAAAAAAAGTTTTTGTCTAAATTAGAAAAATGTAATTGTTATATCTATTTGCATGAAGTTCAAGTAACTACTCAATGTAGTTGAGTCACTATTTCACTATCAATTAATAGTGCATACAATCTGTTACTACAATCCGTGACTATATTTTTATAATATTTAGCACTACTTCAGTTTCTATTACTTTGTAAAACTAGTTAACAGGTACTTCAATTGCAAAAGTTGTCAAATTTATAGTTGCCAGAACTATTTTATTTTCTCTCAGTGTAACTATAGTTATTTAAAAATAACTATTTCTATTTCCTGCATTTAATTATTTAAAAAAAGTAGAAGAGAAAATGACGAAAAAATACGTAAAGATATTTATCGTTTTTTATGTCTATTTCATTACCCTGTTATTTCCTCGGTTACTGTGTGCTCAACTTGTAATCTGGCATTGACTTCAATAAAGTAAAAATTTCCAGATTCATCAACCAAGAATTCCACAGTACCGGCATTCGAATAACCAACATGTTTTGCTAATTTGACGGCATAGTCAGTCATTTTCTCTCGAACCTTAGACGACAATGCTGGAGCTGGCGCAATCTCGACAACCTGCGCATTTTATAAAAGTATTATAATAAAACTTTGATATTCAAGTTTTTATATCAATCGAATCAATCTTGGTGTGATATTACGTTTATAATATAGAAATGTGATAGGCTTGTTTGGACCGCATTTTACGATATCTAGATATTATTTATTTTGAGAACTTATATAAACCTGCGGACTACAATCATGAATCTCGTGTGGTTGCGTCATTGTCCTTGTTTCGAATAAGACGAACGAACGTCATCGCGGTGAATGTACATTGTTTTTAGGATTCATGCATCCTTGAGAAAGCCTTGAGGAGAAAAAAACTCGACAAATTTCATAGAATGAAGAAATTGGTCAAATTAAAAACTCTATTATGTTTAGCGAATAACAATTTTAACATACATCTTACATTTTGACACAATATCTACATATAATGCTATTCCTTAAAATAGAAATAAAAATCTGTTTGACAGATTTAAATGAGAACAGCAACTATTCTCCACTATTCTCTCTTAATAATATTATTATATATTGATTATTGAATATTATATTTAATAATCAATATTCCAATCATGATGTTTTTAACTGATTGTTACGTGTACTAAATTAAAATTAACCAGAGTACTGACCTTTTGATGACGACGCTGCACGGAACAATCGCGTTCATATAAATGTACAACATTGCCAGCATGATCTCCAAGTAATTGAACTTCAATATGACGTGGTCTCTCAATGAATTTCTCAATGAACATTGCGCCATTTCCAAAAGCAGCCGCCGCTTCGGAAGATGCACGATCAAACATCTCACGGACCTCCTCCATTTGTCTTACAACTCTCATACCTATAAAAATTAATTAAGATGATTTCAACGTTGCTCTGAAGAAGACTTGAACAGAGCTAAAACATGTAAACATGTTTGCTCGTATTATATTAACTAAAAAAAAAATTTTTAGCTCATCTAAAATCGTATACTGCTTCTTAATTGCCTTTCTTGTTTCGATCTTTTTTTTTTTCTTATATCTATACAATGACAAAATTTTTTAATAATGTTATATTTGCATACGTATATAATTAATTTTAAGAAACATTGATAGAGTTTCATAAAACTTGAATCCATTCCTTAAATATTAGTTAATAAAATTGAAATTTTCATCTTTAATATACGATATGTATTTTACAAATTAACGCTAACTATGAAATCATCTTATTATATCAAAGTAATTAATAAATTTAGTATGCAAACTATCTATGGCTACGTTTACATACGTGCTCTTAGTCCGCGATCTATACGATATGTGTCTTTGTTTAACGTACAGGATAAATAAGGATATCTATTGTATAGGTCGCTGATTAAGCGCACGGTGTAAACGTAGCCTATTTCTTTTCTACTAAAAAATATAGTAATATATATAAATACGTACATGAACATTTAAAATTTATAAAGTCATATTGATATGACAGATAATACGAAGAAAATATTTTTCTATCTTATGAACAAAAAATGAAATCATAACATATTTATTTTTATTATTATTCTCTCTCTCTCTCTCTCTCTCTCTCTCGGTAAAGTGATTTATAATTTGATAGCCCATATATGTCTGCGTTGATAAAAAATTTTATTTTAACAAATATGAACTTTTAATTATATTAGAAAAACACACCATTTCCAAATTATTTCAACATTACTATAATTAAACAAAAATTTTTTTAGATATTTTACATAATATACTTAAATATCATAACATAGTTAAATATCTATTATTAGGTTATACATTTTTTGTCCAGCAGACTCTGTAAGTCGTTTTGCCATTGCAGAGTAACTTGCCATAAATGTAGTTTGAGTGTCGACAATGTTGCATTGTTCGATAACGAATAGACGCGTTTTTCAAACACGTAAAACATTATTCAACGGAAAAAAACATTCTTTGTCCATATGATATATATTTACGATCTTAGTGGCTACAGCCAATTGTGTTGCTTTACGGTAAATTTAGCTTACGTATGAATAACGTGTATGCAATAGTATAAAACTTTTCAAATAAATCTGATAATGCCAACATATCGAATTATTTTTGCAATAAAGCAGCAAATTTTAAATTACTTTTAGTAGAAAGAGAGTTTATAAATCTATTGCACCTGTTTTAAGATTTAAAATTTATAGTATTTTAATTTTTTTTTTATAGCAGTTTTGCGATGTTGCTAATATTTCTTTTATATTTAAGTAAATTAAAGCGCTATGACTATGTATTAGTTCTTGATGTCTTAGACATACCTCGTCCTCCACCTCCATACGCTGCCTTAAAGATAACCGGAAGACCGTGCTTCATGCAGAATTCCATCGCCTCATCAGAACTTGTTACTGGCCCATCTGTTCCCGGGACGATGGGTACTCCAGCTTGAATCGCGGCTTGTCTGGCAGCCACCTATCAATTAAATTGTATTATATTGTGTCTTTATTCTAAGATTGTTGGAGAATTTTGTAACTAAAATTAATTAAAGTCATTTCTAGAATGTTATCTGTGGTGAGCAATTCTATAAATTTTCGATGTTTTATATTACTGCGCGCTTAGGAATTTAAAATCCGAAACATAACAACTTTCCAATACAAATATAAGTATTTAAAACTCGAACAAGCAAGTGAAAATAACTCCGCGGTTTTTCTTTGCGTTTTCTTGTGAAAAGTTTATTCTTTAATTTCTTATATTAATCTCGTACGTTTCAGCTCATTTTGAGCCATTTTCAACGAATAATGTTTGAATGTTCGTGCTTAATTGTTTCGCATAGTATTCATTACTGGTTCGCAACGGGTATAATAATATTCTACCTTGTCTCCCATTTGTTGGACGACTTTAGGACTAGGTCCAATGAATCTGATGCCTGCATTAGTAACCGCTTGAGCAAAGTCTGCTCTCTCAGAAAGGAATCCATAACCAGGATGTATAGCGTCGACATTGTTTTCTTTGGCTACTTGGATAATCTCAGGAATATTCAAGTAAGCTTGAACGGGTGGTAATCCTTTGCCCACTAAATAACCTTCGTCTGCTTTCTGACGGTGCATCTGCATTTTATCCTGCTCCGAGTAAATTGCTACGGAGCGAATGCCGAGTTCCGAGCAAGCACGAAATACACGAATGGCAATTTCTCCTGAAATATTATTTATAAGTTAAAATTTTACACAAAATTATAAAAAATTATATGACTTAAAATTAGACATTATAGTGCTCGTTTTATTAATTTTTTGTTACAATTTTATATTAACTGTATTTTCAAAACTGGCTTATCTACACGGAGAGAATTTTCTTTTAAAATTTACCCTGAAAATATGACAGTCGTGGGACAACATTGTATTTCGAAGATTTTTACCATGCACTTCAGTAAAATTGATCAAACTTATTTTAAACTTTATTGTAGTTTTATTAATGAATGAGAGGGTTTTATGTTAAAATTCTTCAAAATACAATGTTGTCCCACGACTGTCATATTTTCAGGGTAAATTCTAAGAAAAAATTCTCTCCGTGTATTTAATGTTAAAAATTAAGAAAATGAAGAAAAGATGATCTTTAATAAAATTTTTGTTAGAGAAAATTAATTTCAATTTGTTTAACTTATCTTTAAAAAATTTATATAGACAGTAATATTTTGAAAAGTATATGCGCATAAAAATTTTTGAAAATGAGTTAAACAAATTGAATTTAATTATCTCGAAAGTTTATTTTTATTTTTTTTTAATATTAATATTCATATGAAAATATTTAAAATAATTTCAAAACATTTTTTATTAGTCACATAACAGATTTAGAATGGCAATATAAATAGAAATATGTGAGCTATGGAGTTCATTGAAATGTATTACGATTACGATATGAGTAAATTATGGTATACGGTTTAATTTAATGGAATGCCTAAGATATACTCGATTCTCGATCCTAATAAATAAAGAATAACGTTGTTTCTTGTGTTGATTAATCACACAATCTTATCCTATAAAAATCAATAGGTCATTGATAGCATTCATTAATCCATCAATTCAAGCAACGTCGGTACATCACACCCAGTGAAAGTAATGATGATTGCTTTCAATGAAAGTAGCAATTATTTGAAATGTGTGTGTATTAATTTTTTTCTACTACTTCCTTAACCTGTTATTAACAAATTTCTATATATACATTACAAGTAAAATATCACAGTATATTTTTTATTGAAAAATACAATAAAATAAAAAAGGCCCAAATTTTTGGCATATAACTATATATGTGTGTACGTACAGTGTTTGTAATTTATTAAAATATTAAGTAATAATGAAGCATTAATAACAGAAAATTGTCATCGACAAGCGTGTTAATGAGTTTATGATATTATCAAGAATGAATTTGTAATTATGCACGTGATATACCGTTGTCTTATCTGTTTTCTTCACGAGATATATGTTTCTTTATCTCTATCTGAAAGATAGAGGATCTTTCATATCCTTTGTAGAAAAAAATTTTAATAATTTACATTAAATATTTAGTTAATAATTAATATTTATTAAACTTATAGAATATTTAGCTACGGAAAAAATAATGTAATAAACATATATTAAAATATTGAAATATTTTTTTTCTTTTTAATTCAGTGTTTAAAATATTTTTTATATACATTATTTGATATGTATAATAATAATGATGATATAATGTTAATATATGTTTTTTGCAACGTATTGAAGATTACAAAAGATAAGTACTATAATTTAACAAATTTAGTAAAAGTGACTTTTTTATGGTAATTTTTTAAAATATCAATTTAAAAAATCTTGTGTATATATATAGTGTTACTTTACCAAAAGTTAATAACAATTTACTCACCTCGATTGGCAACGAGGACACTTCTGATTGGTCTGTATTCTACATCTGTGCGGAAATATCTCGTGGTAATTTTCCATATTTGTAACACAGTTTTATGTTTATTTAGTGTCCGATGAGCACGCATGGAATGCATTTTGTTAGTTGTTTTTATTAAGCGTTCACACAATATTCACAGAATTATTCTTCGTTACTTTTGTTCGAGAATGGCGTATAAAAAAAGCTAAAAGATAAACTTCCACACTTTATCTTCTTAAAATGAATTATTTCCCTATTGAAATTGTTTAGGTCGGTTTAAATATTTTCAAATTAATTCTCGCGTTTTAAAACAGCACTTTTCGTTTCTGTCTCGGTCTTCGTTCGAGTTCGAATTCCAAGTAGTCTTCGTATGATCGCGATAATTATGTCTTTTGGAGTTATCGCTAGACGCAGCTTTCAATTTGTTAGAATATTCGTTCTACGGCACGTTTTTATCATATATTTAAATCGTTTTCTTGTCTGTTTTCCTGAAATAACACTTTGATATTCCGTCAATTATTTTTGGTATTTCTGAAACAGATAAATTCCATTTTCTTTTAGTACAATTATCACAGTAATTATTCTAAGTTATAAGATTATTGCGAATTAAATTAACAAGTTAAAAACTTAATTTTTTTATACTTTTATATTATTTTTAGAGAGGAAGGATTTTGTTAAAACAACCCATCAGTACCTTTAATAAGTGATCGGTAAATATGTGACAACAAATTTTGTTTGTTGTGATTGCTGCTATAGTCTGCTATATCAACCAATTATTAGTAACAGAAGCAAACTATATAGAATCTAACCTATCTTTTGGATAGACTTTGGATTCGTTTACATAGAAATCGTAGATAATCGTGGAGTCTTAAGTCGTAGGAAACTGACCAAGCATGGTCAAATGTAGGAAGAATACTTGACTAAAATTGGTCAATTTCTTACGATTTGAGACCCTGCAACCGTCTACGACTTATATATATATATATATATATAATAAATATCACATTTGTTTTCCCTTGATTTGTTTCTATAACAAAATCATTTGTCTCAGTGTACAACAAAGATAATTTGTCTTTTTGATAAATTACAAATTAACAAAAAACTAATAAGTTTTTACAGACTCCTTTAATTAAAACAATTAATAAAACTATAAAATATGTATTACAGGCAATAGGAGTCGATGCTGGTTATCAATTAGCGCAATTTTTCTTAATACTAAAAATATAAACCTTTATAACTTTGAACGTTTCCATTCGTGGTTTGAGTCTTCATCAGCAATCTTTCACTCTAGCGCAACGATTAGATTGCATGACAAAATGATATCTCCAACGTTTTTCCTCTCAAAAATTGAACCGTTTACTGTTGTGAGGTAAGTTACATACTTACAAAGTTAGAAAGCTGAGTGGCAATGAGAACTCAAGCTAAAATTATATGAAAGATTAAATTATCGTATGTATAATTTGAAAATTAATAATCACCTCACCTCACACAGTCGACGCTTCTACACTGAACAATGAATCTCACTTATGTAACATTTTGTAACTCGTTAATATGTTATAAATTATCGTCAAATTTTAAAAAATAACTGTGAGAACAATATGTGTCTTGTCATTTCGACAGTCGGTTAAATAATGATTGCTAAACAAGTAACATAGCGGTCAATTTGAAGACAAACAAGTTTATGACATATACCTATTATATTACGAACAAACCTTAAAGTTTATTGAGAATTTCAATGTACGCATGATTTAAACCAATGGTATCATGCTGTAGATTCAGCCCATTGGTCTGTCGATTAATATGCATCATCTCTGATATTAACCTTTTGTTATAATAATTTTCTACATCCAAAATCTCTACGTTTTGCCAATCAAAGTCATGATCGTTTTGCAACCTATGTTCTGTGATCACTGAATGAGTGGATGTTTTACTATGGATATGCATTTTGTGTTCAGAAAGTCTGGTTTTTAATTTTCTCCCTGTTTGTCCCACATAGACATTGTCTTTTTGAAAAATACAGATTTGTCTTGAATGTATTGAAATATGAAGACAAACTTTTCATTATTAAAGAAGTAATATAAAATAAATAAGCGATAAAATCTGTGAAAGATCGAATAGTATCGTAACACTTGCTTTATCCGTAAATTGGCTCATTGACGCATCTGTGACATTGAACGTAATACTGCATCGGATAAGCTGCGAGCGCAACTAAATTAGAGCGCTAGAATAGTATTCACTTACTACGTATGATACATCATATAGCATTTGTTGACTTATGTTTTCGGTATGTCAGCCAACTGTTGGAGTCACGTGCAATATTTGCATTATTTAGGGCTGGTTGTTCCATCTTCGAATAAACTATGTGATAATTTACCTACTGAATAAACAAAAGAGCAAAGAATAAGAGCATAAGAGAGTAAAAGAGTAAGACAATAAGCTAAAGTTTACCGTAAGATGGAACAATCATCCAGCCTTACTTACTGTAGAAAATACGCAGTATAAAGGCAATCTAGCGGAAATTTCAAACTTTATGTCAAGTGAATAATTTATCACTATCGATTGAATTAAACATATCATAAATAAATTATCGCTGCGTGCATCAATTGATTTTTTATATACATTCAGAATGTGTTTAGATAATATTGCACTAGTTTATGATGACAATTATGCATTCTGCATCGACGTGATCAATGGTCAACGACCATTCACTCAATAATATTATACCGTTTCATGGCTTTGACATAGAAACAGCTGTTTGAAATTCTTTTTCATGATAAAAAATATTTTTATGAGTTAATTATCACAAATATGTTTTATGTTCTGCAGTGACGTAGAACATGTTAACATATCAATGTCAATCAAAGATCGCCATGTGATAAATTGATCAAATAGGTATATCATGAAAGTAATAAAAATAAATTTATAATTTTTACTAATTCGTATCACTGGTTTTTGCTTATATTATCGTTTATATCTCATAAAAAATAAAGGTTTCTGCAAACAAATGACTGATAAATATATAGTGTACCGATTACTCACACATGCGATGTAAAATATACTGCAACGTAATTACAAGTCAGTAAGATAAAATCGTTTCATGAATAAATTCTGCCGTTTGCTAAATATCGCGATAGCAGAAATGCAAAGAAACGGAGTAATTTAATTGATCGAATGTTAATTTAGCATACACTAAATTGATAATTATAGAACTACATTAAAAGAATTATTTAGATCAAAATATTTTTTAGCATTTTTAATTAAATATACATAAAAATTTGCAATTAATTATGAAATTTTTATTCATATTTTTAATAAGTACATGTATTTGTCTGAACGTTTTATTTGCTAAATATTTACTTTATATAAAATTTAGCTGATTTACACTTATTTAGTTGATTTTCTACAAGCAATAATATGTTACGCTAGCTTATCAGACGAAACATATTTTAATTAAGTGTTAGTTAAATATCTCCCGATATACCAAATATATTGAATACAATTTACAAAGCAACTCATAACAGTATTTTTATGCATGGTAAACGTATATATACATTATCATTATCTATATTATGAAACCGTATAAGGAAATAGGATTTATTTTCGTGTCTCCAGACATCGATGATTCATATCGTCTCAAGTCGGTTTGCTATACGTGTGATATACGTGATAACAAGAGAAAATGGCGCTTTTAACACGAATTACCGAAAAATCACTTGTCACGTCGATAAGACGCACATCTGAATATCGATCAATAGAATGCATTCATAATTGTCATTTGTAATTACAATACGGATTATGTATTCGCTAGTAAGAGCTGAAATCTAATCTACGCGCAGTTAATAAAAATTACTTCGACATCTCGTCTGCCATCAACGGAAGAAACTCTTGAGTTATGAATATAAATTTGTCATCCTGATGACTGAATATAGCCGGGGAATTCCGATCCAAAATTTTATATATGTTTTATGTATCAAGTTATAATGTATACATATATTTCAGTAATATAATTGTCCAGTAACACACGGAGAATAATAATTTAGAGATGGATACCTTCCAAGACTATAGTAAAAATATTCTAGCTATTTTTACCGAATTCGTGATCAATTTTATTTTGCCTAAAAATAAAAATATCGGAGATTTAAGATAAAAAGTACATTATGATTATAGTACATCATTTCAAGTGACTATTATCTTATAGTATTTAAAATTTACTTTACTGCATAGTTATTTGTACTCGTCAATCTTAAAAATAATACTATTTCCTTTACTATAAGACTTATAGTAAGATAAATTATACTTTCAGTAAAGTAAATTATACTTACAGTAAACTAAATCGTACTATTTTCAAGATTGACGAGCACAAATAACTATGCAGTAAAGTAAATTTTATAAATGCTAAAGAAAAAATTGTTGTCAATACAGTAAGAATGATTATCATACGACAATCTCATTTACCAGAAATGTAAAGAAAATTTTACGTACTCGTAAGTAGGCACGTATCCCTATATGAACTTGATATAATTCCATAAAGTTTACTAGAATTCTAGTGGTATTTACTGTACATTTTTCTCCGTGCACGCTAAATAAATCGCGATTTGTGGCAAACTCTCTTAAATGGATGATAAACCAATTAAATTATATTAGATAATAAAATAATGAAAAAATATTATTTTTATTATATAATCGCATTTTTTATTTTATTAACGTCAAATTCTTTTTTTCTATAATATACTTTAGTTTTGCATTATTATGCAAAATATATTTGTATGAAAAATAATGTATAATTATTCAAAAATATTGCAAAAATTAATTAGTTAAATTTTATGCATTAGTCATTTATATGTCTTAGTAAAAGTTTATATTAACGAAATATGTGGAACAGAATTTCTGGACTAGATCTCGTATTTACATTATGTACTGTGTTTTTGCTGAATTACTTATAACCACGCGATCGAACTTTCGGAATTCCGTCGGACGAGTAGGACTTTCGACTGAAAAATGCCTGTTCATTTTCGCAAGACCTTTGTCCCGAATGTAATCTCGATCGACCTCACACTCTTTGATTGGCGTAAATGAATTGCTCTGTCTGGTGCGACAGTTACGAAATCGAGATATCTATAGTGAACTATTCACCCTTTGCTCACATAACACGCGTCGTTCTAGTTTTATTATTTTTTTTCTAATGTGTACGTAATATAAAGAGAACGACGCGAGATCCTTTTTGAAAATATAATTCATATACATATAGGGTGTCTCGTAAGTTTTTGCCAACCGCTTTTGTATAGATAGAGTGGACTAAACTGACAATGAGTCAAAAAGTCCTCTACCGTTTTGCAATTTTCGCAATGGTTAACAAAATATTAATTACTAAAACTCGTTAAATATTGGTTTTCCATAATTTTTTACTCAAATACTATCAAAACTTTACAGAAAAATAGCAAGAGACAAAAATTGTTTACTTTCTTCTCATAAAGTTCTGAGAATTTTTTTAGAATTTTTTAATACTGTATTTTCTCATGTTGGTAAAAATAAAAAATGCAGTATTAAAAAGTTAAAGAAAAATTTTGAAAAAATTCTATAAGAAGAAAATTAATGATTTTTGTATAATATCGTATAATAATATCTGCATGCAGACTGTGCATTTATGTATGTTATCATTGTTAGAAATTATAATTACACAACCATTGATCTAGCAATAAATAAAATAAAACAATACGATTAACATACTAGTGATAAGATAGTTGAAAAATTCAATGAATGTTGTATATATCTAATCTTTAATAACACTAATAATACACGCGTTTGTCGAAAAAGAGGAAATGTAATATATATATGTCTAAAATGTAATAAAAATTAAAATAAGATTTTTATCATGAAAAAATTTTTTAATTTAAATATTAAATATCTAGAAATTCTTCAGCAAAATAATTTTTTTAAATATAATACGCTTCCGTGCGTTCATCTTTTTAACCTTATTACAACATTAAACATTATCAAAATTTTAATACAAATATAAGTTCAAAGTGTTTTGTTATGTCACTATTATTGTACATACATGGTTTAGGAACATAATCTTCTCGTAGACTACAATTGATATAAATTATATTTAATAATATCCGTAGTATATCGAATGTTGTCACAATTTGCATGAAGGCGACCTTGCGGTTTAATTAACGTCTCTGTTTGGAATATTAAACAGCTTTAAATATTAAAAAATAAATATCTTACATCGCTTATTAGTGATTATTATTCAATTTGCAATCAGTGCACAAATAAATAAATGAGAAATTAATTACTGCATGCTACAAATCATAACGGTAAAAGACTTAGAATTACCTGATCTGTTTTCTATATCTACAATATAATTACAGAATAGCAATTCAATTAGACGATAACGACCGATAGTTGGCTTCATTTTCTCCAATTAACTTTTTAAGGTTTAGGTACGAGGATGTAATCGAGTTCCTATGTGTGTCAACTGTCGCATGTCTTGTGTACCTGGTTGCTTCATACATGAGTACATAAAAAGCGAACGTGGAAAAACATTTCACACTTTCACTTTTATCGATTGGTTTTATCAAGATTTCGTCATTGCGGTACAGATTTAAATCAGGGCAATGCCAAGATAATTAAATTATAAGATGACAAGAGTCGATGATTATCAAATGATAATCAGGTTTATCATTGATGTGCAACGCGTTAGTTATTGAATTATTGGAGGACATCCATTTGTTAGTGAGAAAATGGGGTATGTAAATGCATATGTACACTAGCATATTTTTAAACCACATCAATCCGTAGCATCGTGCTTTTAGAAACAACTGATCCATTATCTATATACATAAACTTCAGCATAACAAATGTTTTTATATAGCTATTTACAACAATACAAACAAATTATATGAAATTAATGTATACCGAAATGAATAAAATACTTCTTCCCAAGAGGGATTTATTCATTGTGTTGGGTGAGTGCAAAAATTCGTGCCCGATTTATTATTCAAAGTTCAAACAGCTGCAATTTTGTTAAAAATAAACGAAATTTAAATTTGAAGAAAGGAAAATTTTAAAGCTTAAAATCTCTACTTTCGAATAGTTACTATATTTTTTTAATTTATGTGAGTTTTGTAATTTTTACATATAGAAAACTACGAGTTAAACAAAACGGAAATTTTTTTCTTTACTTTGTGGCCTGTCAAATATCCAAAAAAAAATTTGCAATTTTTTAATTTCTAATGTAAAAGCTTAAAGTTTTCCCTACAAAACTGTTTTTAATAAATGTGCCTACGATTTTTTGTTACTGATTGTGAGTTGTTGCGAATTAAATAAAAAGGATATTTTGACTTTGATTTTGTGTGTGTGTATGTGTGCGCGCGCGTTTTTCCACGTTCGCTTTTTATGTACATGTATGAAGCAACCAGGTACACAAGACATGCGACAGTTGACACACATAGGAACTCGATTACATCCTCGTACCCAAACCTTAAAAAGTTAATTAGAGATAATGAAGCCATCAAACCATCACAATTTTAAAAATCAGGTTCTTAAATTCTCCCTATCAGATAGAGTAAGATTTAGATTATATTTTATTTTTAACATAAATAGCAGCTGTTTGAATTTTGAATAATAAATTAGGCACGAATTTTTGCACTTACCCAATAGAATAAATATCGCAATAATTATATTTTTTTATTTTATTTATACTAAAATTATTATAATGAAATTAAAATTCAATTGAATAACGATTATGTTTCTAAAATGTATTAAGAACACGATTATGAATTACATACCTATTGAACTGCATGAGATTAATAAAAAATAAAGAGAAGTACATTTATTGAAGTGCATGAGATATATCAAAAATAAAGAGAAGCACATTTTTTCCACGTGACTTTCTGTGATTTGCATGAATCGCAATTTGCTTTGGAGGAAAATATTTAATATATACTAATAATAGCTGAGAAGAGAGTAAATAAAAATAAATTACGCTACATATATAACTAGAGTTCATTGGCATCATTTCTTGGCAACTTTATAAGAACGATTATAACAAGAGTGGGTCAATATGTACTCTAGAGGTGTATTGATTTCTCATAATGAGAACCTCACCTAGAATCTATCTAAAAGTTGATTTATCATCTTTATTTGTACATCGACATAAGATTATCCTAGAAAATATAATTTATTAATAATATTAATTACTAAAGATCTGTTGTTGCTTCTTTGTAATAAGTTAAAAAATATATTGATAATTATGGCAATTAAAGAATGATTTACAAAATCAGAAAATGCAGAAAATGACGTAAAGAAGAAAGAGTCGGGAGATAATGAATTAGAAGAATATCAAATGATTTACATACACAACATGAGGCGCACGTGCTGTCTGCAGTTTCCACGATGCGTCAGTCGTGCGTACACGAAATACGTTGAAATGAAGGTCATCTCATCAGATGAATTGATAGTCTATGTTTATTATCTATAATTTATTCATTACAATCATTAAAAAAAGGAAAATATTGACTAATTCCATACCTTGTCTATCATATTCAAACATTTCATTCCTCATGCATGATTCACAAGTACAAATACGTTTTTAGCTATAGTCTATGATTGACTAAATCAGTTCTCTAAAGAATTGAAATATTTTGAAATTATGTTTGACGTAACAATGAAAAATTAATAATTAAAAATTAGTTTACAAAAAGACGTCAAATTTTTGTTTCTTTTTTTAAAATTAACATTTGTTTTTTCCAGTGGAATTTGAAACATTCAATTTGATTTATTTTTATTTTTATTTTATTTTACAAGCTAATCGGGCAAATCTAGCGCTAGAGATGTAACGATAGTAAACGTAACGATAGTAACGTATCCGTGCATATACATATAACTTTGAAAAAATTAAATCAGAAAATTATCTTACTTTTTTCTTTTTTTTTTTATAAAAAAATAATTATTATAACATGTATTTTTTATAATTTTTATATCTAATAACGGAAGGATGTTGCAAATTACTTTCCTTTTGCAAATTTTTATCAAACATTATGTCAGTAAACGACTTCTTAATTTTTTTATCGCAAACACAAAAACTATTACATAAGGATGGAAACAGGTTATGCAAATTATTGTCTGACTGCACTATGTATTATCACGTTCGTTTCTTTCTTAATGTTTGAATTCTTTAAAGATGATACATCTCGATCATTCGGAAAATATTCAAATCTAACAAACGTCTATTTTTGCTCTTGTGTGATAAGAGCATCATTTCTTTGATACATGTTTGATATTAAAGAACGCGATCTTTGACCCTGCATTAACATGGCGAGCCGTTATAACTGCCAAGATTTGCCATTCTCCACTATAATGCATCAGCTTTTATGACTTTGTACAAATTAATGTTAATACGCACTTGTGCGAATGTGAGTGATATAACTCTCAGTAACGTAATCTTAGACATTTCTATCGCAAAGAAAATTGTTTACTATTGTATTCAATTTTTTAAGTTAAGTCTATTGTCTACAATGAATAAAAGTTTATTACATTTTAATAAATATTTTTTTCAATATTTGTAAGGAAACTTACAGCAAACAAATGTTTACTCAATGAAAAAAATTATAGTTAAATCAAGTTAATGGTTCTTGTAACAAATATACGTTAATATTCAGTAAATGTTTACTTATAAATATTTAAAGAAATATTTATTAAGATGCAATAAATTTTTTCAGTGCTGTGTGAATTATATATTTTCACACACTATTATATTTACAAATATCGATCTTCAAAATTAGAGTAAAATTCACGAAAAACATATAATCAATAAACTACGAAACATATCAAAGCATACTTGTGATAGTGTAATTGGTACAAAGGACAGCTATTTTAATACGATATTATAATACAGAAATACCGAAATTTTTTCTTTTAAATTCAAAACTTTAAGATTAATTTTCAATATATATAGAATTTTATAATAGGTTTTATTTATATAAGATAATAAAATATTAATTCCTCTTCAGAATTCCTAAACTATCTTAATATCTGGATAGCATTTAATGATTTAATGAAATATTGAATATATTCTAATTGTGAATCTTATTTTTCCCCTGAATCGTTATTTCATTACAATTACTAATTAAAAATATTATGACAAAAATTATATAAGCAAGTCGAAAACAGAATAGATTTATCACACATCCTTTATTGACGCGATGTCAGTGCAGTATTCACAAAATAAAAAGTCGCATATAACTGATCGAACAATTAATTTTCTTTTTTCTCATTACAAAACCATCAACGTCACACTTTTCCACATATTACGACACATGGTTTGGTACACACTCGGGGTTCTCAATGAGATTATACTCCGGTTTCGATGAACCACTATCGAACACATCGATCAGGTCATACTAACGACATGCCAGTCGAGATAAACGTACAGTGGATTTTGTCGATTTCAGTCAGTAATTCGTGTACTTACTGTGTTGCTCGCCAGGAACGAGATATAGCCTAGACTCGTCCGGCTGAAGTCTAAGCCGCACTGAACAGTCTCTCTGGCACACGCGCTCGACGTGTACAGAAATAGAGGCGATTGGCAGTCAAACCTGCGCCTTGCGCTGCGTCAGAATATCTGTTTAACAAGACGGTTGAGTGTACTGCTGCCATCTTCTGGTGGAAATACTTGTTAAAAGTTTCCTAATATATATATTTCTTATTTATCAATTAAGAGTTAGATATTTTCTTTTTTCACGTTTGTCTTTCTTTGCTTTTAAAATAAAATAAACATTTATAATCTGGAGAAGAGAAAAAAGAAAAATTCTAAGTAGAAAAAAGATAAACTTTGCTATGATTTAATTGGGGAATGAAGACATAAAAACAAGGCGAGACATTTATTAAATCATCGTAATTAAAAGATCGTAATTGCTAAAAAGATAATTCATTTTTTCTCTAGTATTTTAATTATCTCGTTTGATTTTATATATAATATATAGTCTACTGATTCATTCTGTTATTTGGATATCTAAAAATAAAATTGCAATGTAAATTAAACAGTTTTAGATAAATTCTGTTCTTTAAAAAATTTTAAATTAAATTTTTAATTAATCGTTGCTGAAACTGTGCTTCAACGTGAACACTGTGGAAATTGTTTCTTAATATTTTATTTATTTGTATACACTTATAGGCCCTAATTAGGCGTGAGCTAGTCCATTCCCAATTTCAATTAACAATTCAATTCTCAATAATAAACGGACCACGATCGGTAAGCCGCATCGTGATTGTCGAGACATACGTGTAGGATCAAAGCATCCGATAGGATTATGGCGGAGAGTTAACACATATGTGAGGTTTGAGTGAGTCAATTATCCACTTCGCAGAAAATCACGTTTGATAGTTATTAATAGAAATATATTCGAATGTGTAAAAACACATTATAGTGTATAGTTCTCTCCTTCTAATAAATAGAACTCTCAATTACTACTGTCGTGATAGTTATTCTAAAATTGTATGTTTATTTAAATGATGATTAATTGATCCGCCATATCCTTAACAGACACTTCGAATATGCACATACAATGTTTATAATATATATATACACGGAATTGTTTTGGCCTACCTATGCTAGCTAATGTAAATAGACCGTGCAGCGCGGATCCAATATGGATCGTTATATAATATTATAATCTAATACAATATTCTTATAAATAATCTTGTACGCAAATAAATACATTTAATCACTTAATAATCACAATAATATCCTAGAAAGCATATATCATTATGTTGATTTCTGAATCATACATTAAACAATTGTTTTAAAACGAAGCTCTGTTAAATTGGGCAATTATTTATGCACAGAAAATTACTTCTTCTTGAATTATTACGACATAGTCATTGATTATATAGCCCTTAATTAATTTAATTTAAATTTAAGTATTTATATATTTTGCTTTTATAATTTATAAATTATTTAATATTTTGCGATTGTTCTTTTTTAGTCTTTTAATCAATATTGACAAATTAAAGTTTTTCTATTTTGTGCGCTACACAGCTTTGTTTAAAATATGCGTGTATATATATATACAATAGTCCATTACAATTTCATCGTATTTATAATTTATATATATATATATATTTATTTATACATGTATATATACGTGGAAGTCAAAAATTAATAAAGTTAAAAAAATATAATCTTTAAAATAGAAACTATAACCGTCTTTCTCTTCAGCTACAGCGCTATTGTGTCACTTATGAAATCTTACTTCTTTCGAAAACGCATCGAACATTTTTTTTTTTGTATATATGCTCTACTAGTGCATACTGTGTTTATCGGAGTCCTCTTGATATCGTTTCTTGAAAATCGCGCGGTTGATTTTGGAACGATTTTTCTTTTTCACTTTCATTTGTTTCACGCAATTTTCATGAAACGGCGAAGATCTCTGAAAATGATTAATTTGAGCGTTATATCTCTCATAAGTCCTCAAATGACTTTCCTAAAAACCGACCTATCACATTTAAGTAAATACATGACGAAAAAGTGTTTTTGTTTCTAGCTTGTTGTGAGTTTATCGTATTCTATCTTCTCTCTTTAATTATCCATTAAGTGTTTTATAAATAATTTCGCAAATTATGAACCTCCCAAAGTGCCTCGAACGAATGTCGCAGTCGCGTTTGAATAAATACTATCAGAATTCAATATATGAAAATCACAAATGATAATTAATACATAGTTCAAATTTTGTATCTTTAATTACTTTTTGAATATCCCGTACAGATAATTACCGGATTCTCTCTTATTCTATTACCTATTCGCAATATAATAATTATAATTTATTAATTTACGATCTTTTACGTTTAACACATCGAATATAATTTCTCCATATTCGAAGCTAATTTCACAAGTATACATATGTATCTTAGATAAAATATAGTAATATAGCAACAAAAATAGGCTTCGAAATCGAAGATTAATGAGCGCAATTATGCAATAGATTTTAATATACAAGATTGATAAATTAATATAATTTACAAATATAAATAATTGCTATTTACAATCATTAATAAAATATTTGTTATAAGCAATTAATATTTACATGAATAAATAAGACCTAATAAGACTCGAATATTGAGAGATTATTATAAATATCTGGTAACAAGATCGATCAAAGTTACTTCTTAATTAAATAAAAAGTAAACAAAAAGTTTGTCAAGATTCTTATATGATATTGAATTAAATAATACGCATTGTGCTATAATTTTCTTTCGCTAATTATAACGTAACGAGTGATTCTTTATTACAAAACGTGTATGCAATTTAAATGAACATGATAATATACTTTATTGTACTTGCGTTTCTGATAAGTGTTTCTAGGTGGTTTTATGATAACGATATTGTGGAATTCCTCTTGAATTGTGCGAATAATTGCATGCGATATACGAAACTAAATGAACTTCGTGAGATCTTAGTTGTAAGATTATGTAACTACAATTTTTTTTTCTCTTCTAAAAGAACGTTGAATAAACTTACGTAAGAATTATAATACTTACGTATGATTATAATTAATATGATTTTTTTCAGTACCAAACTATTTTCCAGTATCTATTTTCCATTAAATCGTATTTTTTAATTCAATGATAAGACAATCCAAATTTTTTATCTCAAGTTTCGAGAAATGATTATACTTATTTTTTTCGTATGTCACATTACTGATTGTTTTAAATAAGTAAATATGAATTTTTGCATGAATAATTTATAATATGATATTTCTTTATAGATTTAATTATTTATTGATATAATGCTTTTACTTTATTATAAGACTTTGCAGATTTTAAAACAATTCAAAATAATTTTTTTAATTCGTAGAATAATATTTAACTCTAATTGAATCTTCTACAAAATATAGAATATTGTAACTTATTGTTAGTGCAAGTGAACAAAATGAATAATTTATGCGGGGAATGTAAATTAAAAGATATATATTATATAATATCTATAAGAACGAACACTAGATAGTTATATGTATACATTCTCGCATAACAATAAACGTTTAACTCTTGATTTTGATTATTTTTAGTACACATTACGTTCAGATATAATAGTAAAAATTGCATAAAATATGAGGTATTATAATGAAAAATACTATGACGGTTCTTATTACTTTTTATTATTATGCTTCACACACATATTTTATGCAATTTTTACTATTGAATTTTATATATAGAGGTTGACCCAATTCGAAAGTCGAAATATTTATTGCTATATGAGAATAAATTTATGTACATACATAACCATCTAGTATTGGCTTTTAAAGATATTTTTACGTAAGTTACATACGCAAATTGCACACTTTGGTGCTAATAATAGCACTGTAAAATAAATATTGTAAAGTATGAAATATAAAAGCTGGAAAGAGAGAGTGGGAATAGTATTGCACATAGTAGAAATTATCTATTGATGAAACGAATATTATAAACAGTAAATAATTGCAAGTTATAAGTTTAACTTGTTATCGCTATTTACATAATAAAAACATATTTTTTTTACTTGCTTGCACAAGAGTGATAAGTTTTTCTTTATCGAGTAATTATCGTGACAATGTTATCTTGTGCAGTTTACCTCGAATAAAGTAAAATAGCAACATTGACTCTTGGAATCAATCTTGCGGAATGTTCTTAACTGAAGCTCGCATAGTTGAGTTACAATTTGCATATCATTCTAGATCGCTTGACAGTATTTAAAAATTTATATTAAAAGAAGTTTTATATACATTAAAAAAAATAAAATTATTTTGAAACTTGTCAAGCGCAATTATTGTCAAATATCAAATGGCATAATTAAATAAAGAATTAATTAACAATTTTTTACAACGCATTATCGTATGGGTAAATTAATACGTTTTTATGGCAGTAAAACGAAAAGTTTTAAAAAGTATAAAATTATTTTTATCTCTTAAAATTATGTAAAAACGATCATAAAATATTATACAAGTCAAAAGTTTGTAGCTTTTAAAGCTTCACTTAAAGATGTTAATATGTCCATAGACATAATGTATTTTTATAAGCACATGTACTTTTCTCATAACGACGTTAATGATTATAATGCATGCTTACGTCAATCTCAGTTTTGATACAATATCATTTATCTTTTCCTGATAATTTATACGAATTTATATGTATCAGTTTCATGAAACGATTCGGTGTCCCGACTCTGTTTGCTTTTACATAAATATAATTGTATCGAAACAATAAATTGGAACTGCCTATACATATACGTATAATTAAACTTCCAGTTACCGCGCAAGGTTCGAATTAATTCAATATTTCTGTCACATAAAATATTTCTGATGCGTACTTCCAATTCAATATCGTCAATCTGTTCGTCATATTTTGCAAAATATGATACGTTTCCCCACGCGACAGATATCGCCGAGTATACGGTGTGTGGATATCGATTAAACGATACATCTGATAGCACGTTCGTCAAACATCACTTTTAATTAAACGGGGTTGAAAGCGGACCCTTTATTGTAGCTGGCAGTACGGCTACTTTTGTACGCAGATAGAATTCGTATGACGTCAGAAAGTTAAAAAG